TTAAATTCGTATAATTAATTTTTATTAAAAATAATTAAATACAAGATAAAAATCTTATTTTAAATATAAAAAATCTAAATATAATTAAGGAAAAGGTTTCAAGAATATAATATAACAGCGCCAAACATGACTAAAAACCGTACAATATTTTTAATATAATCATATATTATATTTATTTAATCATAAAGAAAAAAAAACCTAATATATATTTTTTAATTGGTTACGTGTTAAGATTCTTAAAATAGTAAAATAAGGCATGTGTTGCTCATGGCTTTTAAAAAAAAACCAATATATTTTCATTTTTATTTCTGTAAAGAATTTAAAAATAAAAATAAAATAAAAGTAACGTGATTTAAACTTATTTATGATTTTACTATTTAATGTCTTTGATGAATATTTTTTAATTATGTTTCTCTTTTGGTTAGTATTTTAATTAAAAGAGTAAATTATAAAGGCATGGTAACGGGGTGGGAATGGGGCGGGTTTTATAATCCCCGGCTCCAGCCCCGGTTTGTAGTAACGTCCCCCGGTCCCGGTCCCGGTCCCCTATGAGTACGGGGATTTTCATCTCGTCTCTGGTCAAATTTCTAGCAATCTCTGGTCAAAACCCGGTAAAACCCCGGTTATTCCTCGGTCAAACCCCATAAATAATTTTCTTTAGTTTGGTTTTACAGGGGATCCCCGCCCCCGGCCCCGGTTTGAGTTTACTGGGGATCCCGGGCCCCGGGACCCGTTTTAGCGGGGAATCCCCGTCCCCATTCGGGTCGGGTGAACCGGGTCCCCCACCGGTTAATATTTTTAGTTTATGCGGTTTTAAAATTACAAAATAACTATCGTGGTTTGCAAAAATGTTCAAAATTGATCCCTCTGTCTAACATTTGTTAGAAAATTGCATTAATGAGGAGTTATTTTATCTACTTTTTCTCATCAGAAACCACATAGACCAAATCATAAAATTATTGCATATATGTTGTTTTGATGGACTAAAATCTTATCCAGTAAGTAATAATATTTTACCGGTAAGCACTTATCAGGTAAGTTTTTGGTAAACGTCCCCTTATTTCACCAGAATCGATTTCTTCAAGAGTATTTAAGAGATTTGGAGCTAAAGATTCAAGCCTTGTGGGTGGAAGTCCAACATCTTCATTCTCCACCATTGGTTGACCTATTTTTTGCCTTTCTTAAAAAACTATTGAGTTTAACGATTTAATGTTGATAGTGGCGTTGGGAACTATGTGTTTGATCATAGTAAATTGTTTTATAGCACTGATATGCTTATACTATAATGCAATGGATTCATATGCATAGAAGTCAATTTATGTATATATGATGGGATGGTCGTCCCCATGAAATAGCTAGATGTGGGTAATGATTCATCGGAGAACTCAAACTATATACCATGAGTGGCTGAACTTGATGACCGTGTGACCTGTAATGATTATATTCTAGCAACTGAGCATATCTTAGTTCATTGGAGGACTCAAACTATAGGACGTGAGCGATTGAACTCAATGAACAATGTTCCATGATAGAAGCTCCTGAACGTAGTTTCGTGGCCTACTTTTGTGTTTTGAAACAATCAATCGAAACCAGGTCTTCCCTGTCCTCGTAAGATGTGGTTTGGACCTTATGGTTATTTGAATTATGAGAACTTTGGGGTTTGATCAAGTTTATAACTTTTTTACATTATTGGTTATTTGAATTATTTATAAACTGTTTGATCTCAATAGGCATAAGCTTAACATTTTTTTCTTAAATGACATGTACATCAGGTTCTCTTAGCGGTGGGGCTCCGAAGTCTTGAGTGGAGTGTTTGGATGTTGTATAGATATTTTTTTGGGATTGATAACCTTTGTCAATTTAACGTTGTATTTGACAGAATTCTTTTGATGATGATGGTGACACTTGTTCATAATTTGAACTTAGAATAGTTTAGATTAGTAGGTTATTACTTATCTTCTATTGCTTTGAGTTGTAAATACTTTATAATTTAACCACAAGGGTGGTGCCTGATTGGTTTGAGCTTGACTTCAAAGGTCAAAAGTATCAGGAGGTCCCAGGTTCAAATCCAATGAGGAATAAAAATCTCCTTGTGGCCACGTAGGTTCAAATGCGGTGACTCCGAGCTATCTGCAAAGCAGGTGGTCGCCCTTGAGATTAGTCAGCTCGCATAGCGGGTTAAATATCCATGTTAATAAAAAATACTTTATAATTTCCTCATCTTGGGTGATTTTATGTATATATGTATTGATTATGTATCAACTTTACAATTTATATTACTCTTATTTTAGGGGTGTTGCATGAGATTTTTCACAGCATCCCCCTGAGACTTAACGAGTGCACCACAATCCAAGTCGTTAGCCAATATCACTTTTGTTGTGCCAATTGTTGGTTATGATGATTTAGAAAATAAAAAGACCATCACCAATTAAAAAAACTACATGTTACAACAAATAAGAAGGAGAAAAAATTGCAGAAGAAAAACCAGATGGAACACAATAGAATGTTCATAGCACATATTATGATTAATTTGCAATTAATATATTAGCAAACATTTAAATTTAGGTGAATTCTATTCATACCCATTTTATAGAGGGTATGTGAATGACTAGGGGTGCTCATGAGTTGGATTGATCGGGTTGAATACTTTTGAACAACCCAACCCAATGCTTATGGTTTGAAAAATCTTAACCCAACTCAACTCAAACCAAAGTGCAACCCAACCCCGACCCCAACCCATACGAGTTGGTCGGGTTAGTCGGCTTGATACTTTGGTACATTAAAAATATTATTCTAACATTGAATATGTTATTTCTCTACTCATAATCTTTTTTCATCATTAACCATTTGATACAACTTATCCATACTTTTTACGTATATCACATTGAGTTAATTTTATCAATTTACATATATATGTTCACAATTACTGAACATATATACGAATGAGTTATATATAGATGTGAATAGATTGAAAATATGTGTATATGAAGAACGTACATGATAATGTAATTGTCTAATGTATATATTAATAAAAATTCAACAATCATAGTAAATCCAAGAAATAAAAGGATATTGGGTTCATCGAGTTGGATTGGGTTCAAACAATAGTAATCCAATATCAACTCAATACCCACGGTTTGAAAATTTTACAACTCGATTAGATATCGGATTGCTTCAGATTGAAATAATTTGGCGTTGAGTTAGGTTAATCGGGTTGGTCGGGTTTTTAAGCACCTCTATGAATGAGGTATGAGTAAGAAAGAACATGACATTTTGAATGAGAAAAAAATATGAATAACAACTCTATATAAATTATTATGCTCAAAATGTTAAACTAAAATTAGTTATAAATGTTGTTATAAATACTAATAATATAAAATTATTTTTATTTAAATCATGTATGGGGAGTACCAATAGAGAGAATGCTTTATAA